CTGAAACTAAGTTTGTAAGTCTAATAAAAAATAATAGTGAGCAACACATACATACAGTACATGTAGTATGTGTGTTGCTCACTATTATTTTTTATTAGACTTACAAACTTAGTTTCAGTGATGTCATATTGTTCTTTCATTTGGCCGGAATAGCAAGCTGCTTTCGATCTGTACACGTAAGCCATTTAATTTGTATATTACACAAATGTTTCCGTGAACTGACAGTTTTTAGGTTAGAAAGGTGCAAAAGGTGCAGAATCACTCCAGCATCCCCTTAAGACAACACTTATGATCTTGAAATAAGAATTGACTATGAATATTAACTTGTCAGATAGTAACCTGTAACTATTTTGCTAACGTCAATAGAATTATATTAATCTGTTGCTGTTTAACATACGAGGGGAAGATCACGGAACTTGAGCGAATTTAATCCGGATGGATCCGCTTGCTAAACTTATTAAGTTTATCTATTCTTGTTTAACACATTTGTCGCTTAATAATGAGAATGATGAAAGCTGTAAACACATCACAGTAAGCTGACATTTCATAATGATTATTTCGTGGGACTTGGGCCATCCGAATGGCCTCTGTATCTTATGGGATTCTAATAGCGTTCAATTAGATCATCGCAATCGGGACAAACGCGCGACAAAGATATTGTATGACCTTAATCTCTTATGCGGAGAATCTGTCGCGTGAGAATCTACCGCCGCGAGACGAACAGACACGCGGCCGAGACATTTCAATTGCAAAACGGGTGAGTGCAATTCGAATTTAACAACAGTTCAGCTCGACCGTTTCTCATGCGCGGAACCGTTAATTAACCGATCAACGATCCACGGCGCGTGTCGCGCGAAAAGACGAGCTGCGGCTCGACTCCTGAAATTCATTCCAAGGAGAAATTTTCGCATATACTCTTACGAAGGAATTCGAGGATCGAGCCCCGGGTCGTTTCAGCGGGGACCAAAGCATTCGCCGCAGACGCATTAATTCTAGCCGTTCTCCGCGGGGCAATTAATCCGCTATTGAGAACTTGGTCTCACACTGATACGGTTGAACACCTGCACCTCGCGATCCCTTCCTTAGCCGCGGCTACGTAGCGAGGAGGAAACCGCCCACCGGTGCGACGCTTAGAGCGCATCTCCCTCACTGTCTGTCTATAAGAGCCGGCGGTGGGGGTTCGATATCGTGGAGAACACACGTTTCTATCGTGCTAACAGCGATTTCCGCGGGGGCTGACAGGGGGATGAAGAGGGAAGAGCGGGAGGACGCGCGCGCGTCGTCTCTCTTCGTTTCCCACCACGTCGGACGCCGGCGTACTCGGCGCCAGGGCGAACGACGGGTAGGCGGGGCTTACCAGGTAGCACACGGGACCGACGCGCAGGTGAGAGAAGAGCGAAACCCGAGCGTGGAGAGGCAGAGCAGGTAAGGGGAAGCCACGGGCTGGCCGACACACGCTCGTCCTCATACGCGAGAGACCGTGCGTGCCCTCCTCGGCCACACTGCGGGGTCAGTCGGGGTCCTGCTCTTAGTCAGGACACTCCGGGAGAGAAGAGTGAGAGTTTCTTCTTCTTCACACACGGGCTGACAAGTTAGTCGGACTGCCACCTGATAATCCACCGCTACCCCCGGCTGCTCTCGGCGATACGCAGTATCGTACGCCGCACCGTGGCAGTGCGCTAACCGTCACGAGGACCGAGGGAAGAAGGAAGTCAGCGGGCGGCGTGAAGATCTCGCCAGGGGATTTACATCTCGTAACATCTCGTAGTTGCCGAGTCCTTGAGATCCAGGATTGGCGCGACTTGAGGCATCGAGGAAGAGGGATTTCAGCGGTGACTCGCGCTCGACCTTGATGAATCACGTGACTTCCGGAGCGAGACTTTGACCGGCCGTTCGGTGGTGAGCGGAGCCAGTTCCAAGGTCGTTCGAGAGAACACTTCATCTCGCGCTTAACGAGCGCCCGGGATCGCGTGCTTCCGCGGAAGTATCTGTGCGAGCAGGGGAGGCAACGTGTGCCGGTAGTTTCGACGTTTGCCAAAGAAATCTGTGTGATTCGCTTTCAAACTGATATCCGGTAGGCGCAGTGCGCGGGGACCGCGTCGCGAATAGTGCGCGGCTCCATGAGCGGCATACAATCTTAACACATCGTTCTCGCATCGCTGCAACATCTGAACGTGATGTGTGGTGAGTAAAGGAACCAAGTAATATCCTCGGACACGGCGACGTACCGCTTGATGATCACGATAGCACGTGACACTCGCCGGCTGACTGAACTCTCCGGTAAACTTTGTCGATCGCGTTAACTTGACACGCGTCACGCACTTTTGTCGTCGCGAACACACTTGCCGACAGTTATATTTTATTCAACACGTCAAGTTTATACGTTGCGTACAACAATCTAGGATCGATTGGTAAGAAAAATTTATAGAATTTGCGACACATGCTCTCAATTAGACACACGTCGAAAGGAAGCAGTAGAATAAAACTTGCTAGAAAATATCAAAGTTTGATTCACCTGTGCGTTTTCTGGAAAACCGATGTGTGTAACTTTTTCAGAAACAGATTGCGTCGGAAATCAGTTTATATTAAATCTGAAACCTACACGGGGAGAGAACTTCCTTTTAAAATTTACCCTGAAAATCATGTAATCGTGGGACAGCGTGGCATTTTTAAGAACTTTATGAGAGGTTTTTGAAATTTTACCATACATCTTACTAATAAAATGTACTGAGTGTAATTCATAGTAAAAAGTATGGTAAAATTTCAAAGAATTCTCATAAATTTGTTCAAAATATGTTGCCCCACGATTACATGGCTCAGGATAAACTTTGAAAGAAAATTCTCTCCGTATATAATATGTTATATATATGTTACAAACACGAACGAATGTGAGCAATAATAAATGTATTTCGTATGAGGATATGAACACTATTAATCGTCAATGATTCTGTTGGTCGAAGTGACAGGAATTTGATTATTAACGTTCGACGACGATACCACTAAAGTCGATTTAACGTTTCGACTTGTCCTGTAACTTTCCGCGAAATCAAAACTCTTATCAGGAGTCAAAAGTAGTCGCCTGTGTTTTTTTTTCCGCCGACTCGCACCTGATCATCGTCGTGTCTTACACGTTACGGCCTTTCAAAGTCTCCGCGTAGTCACTCTTGTTCCCCGTCGACTCTTTGAACATATTCCGCGATTTTTTTGGCATTTAACATTTTAAACAGATACATTTGCGAGTTTATCGCATTCTTTCGCGACACGAAGGTACTTGTTATAATTTACTTGTCGCAATGGTAATAATGTGTAATTGTTAATAATAACAATCGTTAATAAGAGTACATTCCAAGTCCGTTCAGGGTTGCTTCAATTCGCGTATGAACAAAATTACTACTTGGGAAGTTTTCGAACGTCGGATTAGCTTATCGATTGTGCTTCATCGTGTTTTATGGATGATTTGCCTCGAATATTCAAAAGGCGCCAAGATCTCGTCATATTTTTTAAGCAAACTTCCGCCGTCAAACATCCGCAATTTCGTTCCGAAACGAACCGCCTTTTCAGTCTCAATGAGATCCCGACTCTTCTGCTAAAGACACAGATTGTTTGCATAATCTGTTTTGGTAAGCGGAAAGAACTTTCCACTTCTAGTTTTCGTTCACAATTCCCTAATTTCACGCGCGAACCGCAGTTGATTCACACTGTACGATCGTAGAGACACAAAAAATACACCGTTCTTTCGAAAAATGAAATTTTGTCATTGATCTGCGTTTAAAAACATTGTTCAAACTCGCCTCTCTTTTTATTCGTATCGCGAAAACTCAAAATTTGCATTCTCGAATTTTAAACTTGTTCCCAAGCATATCATTTATTTGCCTCCTTGGACAACTATTTTGTTGAGTCGCATATCTAAAGATATACTTATTTATTCCACTGCTCGTGTTTCTACTTCCACAAACGAGTAGATTTAATAGTACGCGAGTATTGTTTGTGAAATACACCTATGTAAAAGCGCACGGCTCCTTAAACAAATGAAAGATTTTAGCGACGCGCGTGTACTATTATCGTATCGCAAAAGCGAAAAAGTTATACTGCAGATAAGCCGTACGATGATAACTGAAGCACGAGGCATTAAAATAGCTAGTATTTTAAACACATCATGAATGCAAATATTGCTGTTAGGAACATGTGTAAATTTCCAAAACATCGCTGCACTTTGCTCGCTTGCATAAAATACGACGACTAGCATACACGTGCAGCTCTCTACTGCATTGTACAATTATTATTAATTTTGTACGAAATATAATAGTTTCTTCAAGAAACATCGCAAAGGGACTTAATCTTCTTTAATAGATATATTGTATTCTGTGATGTTTCGTTTCTTCTTGTAAACGCAGATTTTATTTTCAGTATTTGTGACAGCTGTTCGAACACAGTAGCGATTCATTCATTATAGTGAAATTTTCGAAAAATATATTAGTTTTCGGGACATTTTACGACGAGTAAATAATTTTTTTTAAAATTCATTTATAATGTATATATTTATTAAATCCGTTAAACATATGCATTGAATATTGGATTATTATAATATCATTGTATCTTGTATAATATTAAAAAGGTGCTTTGTCTTCGAAATTAAAGACTGAATACGTATTTTAATCTCCGTTTGAAAATGCAACTTGTAAGTCCAAAAATCCGTCTTAAAGAGACTCAGGCGAGAAGAACGTCTGACACTTGTTCACACAGCTTAATCAAGGCATCGCGTAAATATTCATGATTGTTTTTCGAGATTTCACGATGAGTCGTTACGGTGGGAGTTACTTTCGTAATTAACGAGCAAACAAAGCTAGCCGTTTGCGAGGCCTAAAAAAAAGCCCCGTTTATCGTCAATTAATCGATTCGTTAATTGACAGGTGCTGTCTGTTATGTCATTTCGACTTTGCAGAGAGAAATGTACTGCTGTTAAATGGAAATTTACCAAGAAGATGAAAAATTCTCGAGTATAATCCAATACAACGTAATCACAGTGTCCATAAACAGACATTTTGTCCGAATCAGAGATTCGCATGAATTGGAAACCACGTTTCCCGTTCATGGGGACACTGTGAGTCACAAGTGTTTAATCGGTAATTAAAAGAGTTCCGTCTGGCTGCTATTAATTTCGACGATGAGAGCACGTACGACTCACTGACTCGGAATTTATTTCGTGTAGCTGCGAAACACGTCGAGCCTCAAGTGTGAAATTAAGAAATGACGTAGTTAACGTACCTCGAATCTGTTAAAGCGACATTTCCACAGGTGGCCGCACCCTGAATCAATCAATCTTTATCATTAATCGAAGATTTCTGTTATTGCACCGATTATCGCACACACTTCTGCAGTTCGTTATCGTCTTAAATTTGTTACACGCTAAAGACCGCTGAAACACCGATAGCTTTAAAGACGTACGTTGTATTTGCGCATATGACGATGATTGAACGCTAACAGTCGAAATGATCTGTGACAGAATATACTCTTTATGAATTAACCTTCCTATCCTTCTTTATTTATTTTATCCAATCGATAATAAGCCACTATTAAATAGTGAACGCGGTAAATTCTGTGCAAATATATTTTTTGGTTTGCTCTACATTATGCTATTATATTTTATTATGTATGTGCACGATATTTACATATTGTATTTCCTCGGGAAAACATGTTTTCGACATTTCAAGCCGGGCCGCTTCGCTTAGTTAAAGAAGATATTTGATTAAAAGTTTTTCAGGGATAGGGAGAGGATTTTCGAGTCACTTTTAGCCCGTCGACTTTTCGTTTTGAAAATGTTTTACCCGGACTTTTTTTTTCAGCAGAACGAAACGGCTCCACTTTGCCCTATTTATAGTTTATTACACGCTGCCGCGGTAAGTTGAAAGGATAGCGGGAAATCGGGTTTCCGACGCTCATGATTTATTTTTATACGCGCAACAAACGGCACGTGGTTCTTTATTCTGTGCTAGACACGATGCGCGGACGATAACAGCGCAGAAATGCAGCGTGATATATCGTCCAATTGGCCTCACCTGTCCAAGCACGTGTCCATCTAATATCGGGACCTCGAATTTGAAGACAAGAATTTCTCGCATCAAAATCGTGGCTGCCGAGCTGTTTTCCCGTTCCGTCTCTGGTTTCTCGAGCGAAATTTCTGTAACACATTTCAATGCATATTTCATCTCGAAGGCCGAAGCATTTCTCGCGCCCTAATCTCATACATTTTTATCACGACTCATTAGACTCGAGACTGATACAGTCAATCCTGCTTCAGCTTCTCGTTCTTTTTCCTGTTGAATTATTATTTCAGTTATGTAAGGAGACATACATGACACCCTTATCGGAGACACGCTCTTCTTTTTTTTTGGTGCAACTATGTTGTAATGCGCTCGTTTCCCTTTTCAGTTCTCGCTCGTCTAAAACCGCAGCTCAAATTCGCAATGAGCAGCCTCCGGCGATTGGCAGGGAACTACATCGTGCACCGTTATCTATGGAAACGAGTAACAAATTCTCGCTACCGATGCGTCCGCGTATGAATTATGTAGGAATACAGCTCGTACGAATGCATTACAGATTTATTCAAACAACGAGTAGCGGTTATTAGTCGTAGTTTATGTCCAGACGCGATCCTTATCGACACGTTGGGACCTTCGAGCCAGTGATTTACTTCGCGGGTTATCACCGGCTCTCCGACACATCGTCGTTTCACGCAAAATGGCTATTTCTATTTCCACTCGTTCATTCGCGTGTCTTACAAATCACCCGCGCCGGCAAAAAAAAAACTGCATTCGCATCGTGCACTAGCTTGTTAATTATTCCTTTGTTTGCAGCTCGTTAAAAAATATCTCTTTCGCTGGTGCATAATTTCCCATGGGCTTGCAATTTACATGAATTAAAGCGCAAACTTTTTAACTTCTCGACAAGATTTTATACGCCGCGAAATTATGTTACGTACATTTAGTTGAAAATACATTAGAGAAACCCGTATAGGGGGTTTTGCAAAAATTTGAAAAATCGATGACAAGATTGTGTCGACCATAATCTCGGATCGCGCTGCATAAATACGTACGTGCATAAAACATATAATTATAGAGAATGCATTGCATACACGAAAGTGATCGATGCCGCGACCGGTCATAGCTTCCTCCTTGACTACGCCGATCGTTTCTCGTTTCTCTGACAAGCCGACGGCTTGAGAAATCAGTGCAGAGCGTATTGCGTGACGGAGAGCAACCTGCGCGCAGATGTGTTTCTTTCATTACCGCCGATCTTCGCTACGCAAGTCGATCGGCAGCCGCCGCGCGCTTTTAAGAGCCTGTCCCGTCGAGTTCGCGTCGAGGCATTTTTTTAATCGCGGACTCGTCGCGATACGGGTACTGCGAGCAATCACATCTGCCCGACCTCGCGCGATTAGGATCTCGTCTCTCGATACGTCTGTCCGATACCCGCCGCGAGTCGCGCACGCACGATTTATAATTCATTTCGCCGGCAGCGCGCGTTCGTGATTTCCTTCCCCGCGCGTCCGCCCTATCGCGCGCAAATTCTTTTTTTTTCCCTCCCCTTCTTTATTCCGCCGCGAATCTGATACACGTAAAACGACGGCGACGATGCATTAAACGTGCTCGCGTTAAACGCAGCGAGTATGAACATTCTGCATTCATCGGTGCCCGAGATCGCCGTGCGATATGCCGGCGACGGTTTAAATAACTCCTCCTAGTGGGGCTGGTACGATTGCTGTGAATATAGAGTCCGCAGTCGCCACCGTTTCCAATTCTCTATCATCGAACGGGTGAGATTGCCGCACTCTCTGAAAGCCAATCAGCGGATTATCAACTGCAAACAGTGAATAGTCAACACTGCAATTCTCAGCAGTAGACTTCCCTGGCGAAAATAATATGTTTGTCAAAAGTTTGTAAGAAGTTTCTCCAAATGTTGAGTCAATGTTTTGATTTGAGTTTTAAAACATTTATTGAATTGTTTGCGAGATATCGATTTAAACGTGGAGTTGTTTACGACATGTTCACGGTTACACACGCGTTCACATTGCGTTCAATGACACTACGTCAAACGTTCTGTTTAAAAGTCAATCAGTAAATTATCATTGAAAACAGTGATTCTGCGATTTTCAGTGGTATACTTAGAATTGTGACATTTCCAGTGACAATTCACTGATTGATTTTTAGAGAGCAGAGTGCAATGAGCATGTAATTTAGGGGATAAAATTGCAGAGCTTGCAGTCGACCAGATTTCGACAGTTTATTTTACGACCTTTCGACCTAATTCCTTATCAAGTAACAATGGTTAAGAACCGTAGAAAGTGGCTGTAGTCAGAAAAAAACCAGGGTTTGGAAAGTTATTGTACTTTATAAAAGTATCTCGTTACAGTTACAGTTTTTTTTTCGCTAAAAATGTAACTAGTTACAGTTAATCGAAAAGTAACGAATCGTTACTTTGCAGTTACGTCCTTGCAATGAAGATAAACATATCAAATCCGCGTTTGAATTGTAAAGTGTCGATGAAAGCGTTTGTGTGCAAATGCAAGATCTAATGCGATCTGTGGAGGTTTAAAAGAAATATAAAGCAACTATTAATGTAACTAATTGAATTAGTTACTAATTATGGAAAAAATGTAACTGAGTTAATTTACAGTTACAGATGGAGAGAAAGTAACCAAGTTAAGTTAGAGTTACCGAAAAAAGTAACTGTAACTTCGTTACAAGTAACGAGTTTACAGTTACCGTTACTTCCCAACCCTGGAAAAAACATTACAAGTATATGAGTTTGTACCTCGTGTAATTTAGGTAAACTCGACGTTTTGTACCGCAGCTCAGTCTCCGATTAGTTATACTTGCTGCGATAAACGATTTGTCGGATCCTGATATGCGAGGCATATCGACTGATCTCTTTCGCAAGGTCGTATCTTGATTTTACGCAATGTCTGGCTTTTGTGCTGAAATATTCTTTCTGTACCAGGAGGAGCGTTTAAGAATAAAAACCACAAATTGCGTAAAATTGAGATGCGACCTCGCGAAAGAGATCAGTCGATATATCGCGATTAATTACTCCGTAACCAAAAGACATGTACAAGACATGTACAGAGAATTATAATTTCTCATATTTAACATTCTAATATTTATTTGCTTAACGTTCGCAAACGCTACTTTCGTTCATCGAACGATTCTGTAAATATTTTATCGATTGCGCATAAAATATTTGGTTGCCAACAGCGTAAATAAAAGCACAAGCTGCGTTTACGGTTTACATTTTACCATGTGTTTGCGAAACAAATTTGGAAGATACGCGTGTTACGCAACGCAACACTTTCGTTTTATAATTTGTCCGATCAAGCCGTGATTTTGGACTGTAATCATTTTTCATTTATGCGATCGAGAGGATTTCGATCAAGATCGGCATAATCTGATTTTATGCATCACGAAAGAATCCGCTTCAAGGCTCCATGTATTATTCATTTCTCTGTTAACGTATATGTTTCGTGTACGTAATAAACGTGCGCGTGGAATGCGGCCTCTACGCATGTTTACGCAAAATATACACTTAACGTGAGTTTCCGTAGTTTCGTTATTCAAGACAATGTAGTGGAAGATAACATAAACAGTTGGGAATATTTATTAGAAAATATCGAAACAGCAGTACACGCTTAGCTAAGGCGCCTATCAAATTTCTTAGAAACGTTTTAAAAATTGAAGTCACGTTGAATATAATCTCTTGCTAAAAGATCGCTCAAAACATAAAGAATATCGATTTCACTTTAACGTCTTGAAACCTGTTCGGCTTTATCTATGTAGTTCTAGTCCAAGTATTTAATATTTATGTATATTCATGATATTCCGACTGAAGATTTACAAAAGTTACCAGGAAATATCATTTATCGGTGGAACAAACGAATAAACTTCATCATGTAAAAATTCTGTACGTGCCGTCACATTAAAGCACAATCGCCCTAATTAAATGCCACTGTTTTTAACGACCTGCAGGAAATAGCGCCTTGCGATTTTGACTTGATAATAGGAATGATCGCTTTATTTAATACGGGGCTCTAACTAAACACACAGACATGTGTTTGTTGCGTTTCAAGTACGCACTTTGGGTGCAATCGTCGCGACTTCGAAATCGAACAGACACGCACGGCACATTATGCGTTGGTGCGCGAATACGAAATAATAAGCCAAGTGTTTTGCTCTCTCGTAATAGAAGCGGTACCTCGTACTTGGCACATGAAACCGGAACTTCATTGCAATCCCGTGGGAGTTCCGGCGGGCGCCTTGTCACCCCCGGCTACCCTCTCGCCACCCGGCAGCCCCAGCATAATCACGCTGCCATCCTCGCCTTGGAGCCCAGGTGTACCGGGAAGCAGTTCGAGCACCATCGCCTCCACCAATGCACCTACGGGCCTTTGTCAACCCGTCCCCGATCGTTTCAGCGCCTTCACCCTCGTGTCGAATTACAATCCCGATCTGAGACTGCAAGGTCTACCACTCAGCGCTACCGTTGCCGCGCGAGGTAAGTCGTGAGAGAGCGGGTGACGTGGATGAGGGGGACATTTTTTTATACTGTCTAACTTGAATGTACTTATCAATCTACAGGGTGAGTCTTTCCATATCCGACAAAATTTTTGAGAAGGTAGAACGGATCGAGATGAACGGAAAAGTCCTGTACCATTTTGCAATTTTCGTAATAGTTAACGAGTAATTAATTATTAAATATCGTTGTCTTAGGCCGGCCTACCGTACAATT